ACATCCCCAGTAGGAGATGTGCAGGAGGCGGCTGATCGATGTTTCTCTCTCATCGATGTTTCTAACTCTCTATCTCTCTACCTTCCTCTCTGTAAAAAAATCAATAAAATATATTAAAAAAAAAAAAAAAACAAGATAAATAAACACACAAGCAAATAAATGAATAGCTCTCGAACCGGCATTTTCCGCTGACAGCTCCGCGCGGCGGCGGTTGCGGGCGGGGTTGTGTAGCTCGCTCTGTGTTGCTGCTGGCAGGTGCCACGCGCCCTGTCCCCGGTGAGTTTTGTGACTTTGGATTTTGAACTCATTCACGGCTTCCCCCGTGACATCGGAGCTGAGTGGCGTCTCTCCGGAGACCTTTGCTTTGGCCGGCAGCGCTGGGTCTGTCACTGGTCCAACGGCTCTGCCAGCGGGTTCCCGGCCTCCACGACCCGGGGTGACTTCAGACCCGTCCCACGTGAGCGGTCGGCTCGCTGGTCACACGCTTTTTGAACAGAATCACCTTCCCCGGCCAGGGCTCAAGCGGAAACAGGAGGCCCCGCTGAGGTGTTCTGAGTGCTTGTTGCTGCTGTTCATCCTCAACATTGATTTTTAGAGCGAGTGGGAGGGAGAGAGAGAGACACGGACAGAGAAACATCGATGTGAGAGAGACACACCTGTTGGCTGCCTCCTGCACGTGACCAGGATGGGCATCGAGCCTGCAACCCAGGTGCGTGCCCTTGACCGGAGGGAACCTGGGACCCTTCAGCCCGCAGGCCGACGCTCTATCCACTGAGCCACACCAGCGAGGGCTGGTGGGGTTTTTGTGTTGTTTTTTTTTTTTTTTATTGCAGCGAGACCCACCTAACATGTGAAGTGCAGCTCAGAGGCGGTTAAGTACATTCACATTGTTATCCACCGTAGGGCTTCGTCGTCCCAAATCGAACCTCTGGGCCAGGAAGCAGCCTCTATTCCCTGCCCCCCCATCCCCTGGCACCCCCCATCCTACTTCCTACTTCACGAATGTGCCTGTTGTAGGTGTTTCTTTATAGGGGGGCTCCTAGTCTCTGTCCCTGTGTGTCTGGCTTCTTTTTTTTAAAATACATTTTATTGATTTTTTACGGCGAGGAAGGGAAAGGGATAGAGAGTCAGAAACATCCATGAGAGAGAAACATCGATCAGCTGCCTCCTGCACACCCCGCACTGGGGATGTGCCCGCAACCAAGGTACATGCCCTTGACCGGAATCGAACCTGGGACCCTTCAGTCCCCAGGCCGACGCTCTAGCCACTGAGCCACACTGGCCAGGGCATGTCTGGCTTCTTTCACTCAGCAAAATGCGTTGGAGGGCCATCCAGGTGGTTCGCGTGTATCAGAACTGCCTTCCCTTCACGAGAGGAGCGTTCCCTCGCTTCCGGGCTCGCGGGAGTTTAACCGAGTCCGGCCCTCAGAGCGTCACCTTGAACACGGTCCCAGCCGGGAAACTGCAGGGCAGGTCACACTTTCCACGCTGTGTCATTCCTCTCTAGAGTTGTTTATTTTCCCCCGCCCCTTCCTTTCCCTTTCCCTATCTTCCTTTTTCCATGGCAGGAGGGGGCGGGGCATCTGGAGATTTCTCTTTCTTCTTTTTGTAAAGTTAATACATTTTCATTGATTTCAGAGAGGAAGGGAGAGGGAGAGAGAGATAGAAACATCCATGATGAGAGAGAATCGTTGATCGACTGCCTCCTGCATGCCCCCTACTGGGGATCGAGCCTGCCACCCGGGCCTGTGCCCTTGACCAGAATTGAACCTGGGACCCTTCAGTCCGCAGGCCGAGCCAAACCAGCTAGGGCCAACCTCTTCTCCTTGACCGGGGAATCGATGCTCAACCACTGAGTCACACCGGCCGGCCGGCCAGGCTCTCTTTCCTCTTATCAGCTTATCCATGCATCTCAAAGGGGCGGCAGCGTGGAATTTTTTGGCAGGAGTAACTTGAACTTGGTATAATTTTGAACTTACAGAAACGTTTCAAGCCTTGTACAGGGAACCCCGTGTATCTTTATACCCAGGTTCCCCAATCCTCACCACCCCCCACCCCCCATTTGCTCTATTGTTCACTCTCTATCTCTCTCCAGATCAGATATTCACATTTCCAGAAACCTTTGAGAAAACATTGGCGATACCATGTCCCTTTGTCCCTAAATACCTCGGTGTGTATTTGCTAAGGACAAGGGCATGCCTTTCAAGAATCACAATCCGATGATCGAAATCAGAAAGTGTAAGGTGGACAGCGTCCTCCTATCTACCACTCAAACGCCACCGGTGTCTTAGGAACGTGCAGGGCGGGGGAGGTTCCTCCTCCTGGGATGGCGTCCCAGGGGCTTCTCTCTGGTCTCCGTTCGCGCGAGCAGGTCCTCTGTCTTTCTCCTTCGTGACCCTGACGTTTTCTGAGTCGAGGCCAGTTGCTTGGCAGCAAGTCCCCGCATTGGAATTCGCTGGGCATTTCCTCCCTGTTAGACTCAGGTGAGGCAGCCGTTTCTTAATCTCCCTGAACCCCACCCCCAAAGTCCCCCGTAGGACAAGCAGGAGAGCGGAGGTTCCCCGAGAACATCTTCCACAAGCCACCTGACCGTGGAGCCCCACGAACCCCGAAATATAAGTGGGTGGGGCCAAGCCAGTACCAGTATTAGGGGGAAGGGAATGTGGAGGTTGGAATTCCCCCACCAGCCCTCAGCCCTGGAGGAGGGGCTGCCCTTACAGTCAAGGGCTCGGTGAGAACATGACAACAGCAGCAGCAGTCATATGTCCTGTGTGTGCGTGTGTCTGTGCGTGTGTGACTTCACAAGCTCCAATAGTAAAAGACTACGGGAAGAAGGAATGTGCTGGTATGTTCTGGGCCCTCAGAGATTAGAATGACTCGATAGAATCTCTTTCTCTCTTTTCTTTTTTTTTTAAAAAAATATATTCCATTGATTTTTTTTTACAGAGAGGAAAGGAGAGAGATAGAGAGTCAGAAACATCGATGAGAGAGAAACATTGATCAGCTGCCTCCTGCACACCCCCCACTGGGTATGTGCCCACAACCAAGGTACATGCCCTTGACTGGAATCGAACCCTGGACCCTTGAGTCCGCAGGCTGACGCTCTATCCACTGAGCCAAACCGGTTAGGGCTCTTTCTTTTTTCTTAATTGATTTTTAGAGAGAGAGATGCAAGAATCCTTGTCTTAGTTCAGAGGACCAAGAGAAGAGACCTTCCCATTTCTAGGGTCAAATGAACCCAGAAAACTACATCTCCCATGAGGCTGTGGGCAGGCAGCGTCATTAAAAAAATACCCCCCCCTGCTACCGAGGTACCTCTGAGAAACAGTTCCACCACACGAACAGGAGGTTGGGATACAGTGAATGGGGATAAGTTCTGTGCTGCCTAAGGGCAGGGACAGTCCCGAGTCCCTGGGGACACCTTAGGGGAGCAGAAAACGGAGGCCCAGGGGGAGGCTGGGGCTTTCTCACATCCTTCCAGCAATAGGGGGAGCAGGGGCTTTGGGGTTCGCTGGGAGACAGGGAGGCAGCTCCCATTCCCGTCCTCCAACACACGTGCTCACTCGGACCCTTCTTTCAGACTCTTTATTGTTCCAGGTAAGAAAAGTAAAAATATAAATAAGATAAATAAGCCAATAAATAAGGAGGAGACCCAACCATCCACAGCCGGCGGCCTCAGGACATGTAGCTGGGGCTGTGGCCCTGCGAGGGCCGCACCATGCTCAGGGGGTCTGAGGAGCTGACGTCGGGCGGGGCCGGGGCCAGGCCCCCTGGCCGCTCCGGGGGCGCTGGGGGCAGGCCGGGCAGCGGCAGGAAGCGGGAGGGCCCCCAGGGAGGCAGGTCCCTGGTCGTGGTCGTCGGGGAGCCGCTGGGCAGGCGGAGCGGCAGGCCTCGGGCCTCGGACCGGTAGACGCTGTAGCCGTCCTCCAGGAGCAGTTCCCGGAAGCTGCAGGCCTCGGGGTCGAAGCGGAGCTGAGGGCACAGGAAAGAGGTCAGAGCCGCGGCCACACCTCCGGCTGCAGGACCCGGGGCCCAGCCTCCCACCCCGGCCTCTAGGACACCCCGACACGGTCCTGCAAGGCCCACTTCCGGTCCCCACTTCACAAAGACCACCGTTCCAGCCCAGGGGACAGCTGAGGCTTCCCAAGACCAAGCAGGGAGTCTGGCTGCCCCCTAAGGTCAGGGTCACTGCACGGGCCATGAGCCAGACACGAGCCAGACCCGTGGAAGCCGGTGGGGTCAGCAAGGGTTAAGGGACGCAAGACTCGGTCTCTCATTCACAGGCCTCCTGACTCGGGGCCACGGTATCCGTCCCGGCCTGACCTCAGTTTCCCCTTCTTGCAAACATGGATAACAACAGCCCGGCTTCATGGGTTGGGGTGGGGGTGGGGGGCGGCCCTGAAGTGAGTGCAGAACCCTGCCTCGCCCGGGCCACCAGTGCCAGAGCTGGTCCCGCATGGTGACCTGGGAGGAGGAAGGACTGGGTCCCAGGAGGGGTGTCCCGGAAACTCACCGATCCGTACAGTCTCCCATCTGGCCCCTGGCACAGGAACCTGGATGTCTCGACTCCCAAGATTTGGATTACCCCTGGCTTTAGGGCTTTCAGCTCCAAGAGACCTGAGGGAAGAAAGTGGTCAGAGACTCAGATGGCCTTTTCCCAGCCCCCCCTCCCTCAGACCCAGGGGTCCAGGCCCCCAGCCCCTCCTCCCTCAGACTCAGGGGTCCAGGCCCCCAGCCCCTCCTCCCTCAGACCCAGGAGCCCAGACCCCCCACCCCTCCTCCCTCAGACCCTGGCCTTGCCCCCACACTCACTTTCGGGACTCCTGCGGGCAGATCCAACCACGGAGCCATCAGCCCTGATCTCCAGGTGGGCCTCTGTCTCCTGGGCATCCTCTGTGTAGAGGTACCACTGCCTCACTTGGCCCCCAAATTGGAGGAGGGGGCTGGAGTCGTGGATGGGGAGTGCCTGGCCGGCTCCCAGCAGGACAGCCAGCACAGGGACCCACAGTCCTGGGTACTGGAACCAGGCCCTGACCCTGCCCATCAATGGCTCAGTCCTCAGGTGAGGTCGCAGCCCGCAGTCGGAATCACTGAAGGGTCTGGATTCTGTTTCAGATCCGGGGTGTCCGGCAGAGCGACTCCTGCACTGCTGCTCAGGTTCTCCAAACGCCTGCGTCCTTCTTGCACGTGGATTCCCAGGACATGGGACAACCAAGGCTCTTGGGAGAGATGCCGAAGCTGCAGGATTTATATCCAAACATGTACGCCCAGTCACCATCTCTACGGCTGACCCGTGATATTTGACCCACT